GAAAATTGTAAGACGTAATTCAGATTTAAATTCGATTTTTTCAAAAAACTCTCAAAGATTTCAAATACAGTGCCCTTAGAAGATATCAGTCGCGGTATCCACGCTGCTTTCAGAGCCTTAAACTTGCATTCAATATCTGTAATTGATAAACCTCCGTCAATTAAATCGCCGATCAGTGTATTTCGTTTGATTCTTTCAGATTTGTCCCATAAGAAATTAAATAAAAGTCTTTGGACCTTACAGATATATTCTTTATTTGGTATACACAATATAGATGCAACATTTGTTGTTAATATGTTCCATGGGTTGCATATTAAAATGGCAGCTTTCAAACTGCTTGGTGATTTGTTGAAAGGAAGCGGCTGGATGTCAGCATTAATTCAAGCAGACAGAAGTTGCATATTCTGGAACTGCTGAGTCTTTCCTAACATTTTTTAATCTTGCTAAAACAAGACAAGATCGTCAAATTACTGCCTGATGTCTGTATATCTTGATAAAAAGGCAGACCAAAATGCAAAGGAACTCGATAATTGCGATAAAATTGAAATTATAGATGATCTATTTTTCTTGGAGTTCAGAACAAAAAAAAAATTCACAATTTAAATTTTGGTCAAGAATTCTGTTGGAACTCGTTGTCTACTCTTTTGTAAGGTCTTGCAGAGAATCAGATTTTAGGCTTTACAAAGAATACTAGTAATTGCCGTTGGTCACATCAAATATGCTCGATGGCTTCCATTTCACCTTTGGATGCAACAAAGCACCCGGGCATATGCTTAGAATTTGATTAATGAAAAAAAAGAATCTTTACTTAGAAAAAATAATAGTTTTCAAACATTGCCATTTATCAAGCCCATGAGCAGAACAATGCTATTGTAAAAGGTGATGGTTACATGTCACAGAAGACCCAGCTGCATTAAAGGTGGTAGCTGGTCCAGAAATCAGCATACTTACTAAAGAGTTCACATGAATATGTTGAAATGTTCACAAAAAGAAGAAAAACATCAAGAAAGAAACTCATGCTGCTCAAGAAAGTTTTTTTCACACGTAAATCGGGCTATGCTTATGTTTTTGGAAATGTGAAATGCATTTGAGGAAGAGTTGTTGGATCTTTATAGTTGTTGTGAAACTGAAACTGCAGGATCTTTATAGTTGTTGTGGAAACTGAAACTGCAGATGAAATATTTAAAAAGGGATACATTGGGAAAGAACAATATATGTATGATATTCCTTTTAAGAGTATGTGAAGATGATAATCAAGGTTTTTTATGAATTTGTTCAGAAAAATACATTTCGCCTATTCCCAAATCCTTAATCGCCTTAATCCCAAACAAAAATCTGATTCTTCAAAGTCAAAGTTGGCAATTTTGAAGATGACTTTAGCCGTTTTTCTAGGTTATTTATTTTCTGTCACAGTAGGCAATGCAATACAAGAACTTTTTGAACATGAAAACCAGGACACCCCTATCTCTCTTTCACAAAAGGTTTCTTAATAATGTTTTGAAACTTAATTGATGCTTATTTTGGAAGCAGGTCAAGAGTTGCCAAATAATGTACTGACAGAAGATTAAGTCAGTTATGTCATTGAAACAGCTTTTGTAATTGACAGTGCGTCATTACTGATAAGTCAATTCTTAACAACCTGAAATTTTAACTAATATACCAATGTCATTATCCTTCTGCACATTAATTCTCTTGTAAAAGGTAATTTGAGTGTCGACACTACCTTCCGTTTAATTCTCTTGTAAAAGGTAATTTGAGGGTCGACACCATCTTCCGTGTTCAGAAAGACGATAGTTTTAAGGCAGAAACTGAAAAGAAATGTGGAATGGGTCTAGACGAAATGTAACTGGGAACACTAGACCAACAAAGTCATGGAACACTTTCCTTCAGTGTGACAAGAACAAAACTGTTTTTTTTTTCGGGGGAGGGGGGGGGGGTTAGCAGACACAACTATATTCGCGATTACAGAGGCAACTATCATTGTAGTAAAGGGAGAAAATGTTGTCAGTATAAGCAAAGCTATAGATACCAACTTTATACCACTTTGCAACAATGAAGAAGCTGCATGACACCCGTATGTTCCTTCATGCAAAACATGCAGCACTGCGTGGTAGCAGATCAATCTACATGGTTAGCTCGGATAAAGACGTAGTTGTTATTAGTTTAACTCTTTTTGATGAATTAAATGTAGATCAGCTATGGATGACATTTTGAAAGGGCAAGGATTTGAGATGAATACCAATTTATGATGTTGTTAGATCACTGGAACCATATCAAATGCATTACCATTCTTTCATGCATTCACGGGTTGTGATACAGTGTCGGCCTTTGTTTGGAAAGGTAAAAAGACAGCATGGCAGGTCATGAATATGTTTGAGAACGCCACAGAAATATTCCAGTTCTGAAGTACCCCTTGTGATAATTTGTAAAACCTCTAATCAATGCACTGGAAGAATTTTTCATCATGTACAATCAGCAATGCGAATGCCGTTAATGACGCTTGCCTTGATCCCCTCCCTAAAGAGCTGCTCTTGTACAGCATATTTGGAGAACTGGATTGCATGTTGGTCAATTATGGGGTCAGTCACTACTAGTATGCAAGTGGCTAACTTTACCCTCACCTTCCAGTTGGGATTGAGTAAAAAAAACGCGGATTTTGGGCCCCACACTGTACATTCTTGCCAGCAATTGCTACATCATGACATGTCAAGAACTACTAAATGTGGGTGTAATATAACTTCAACTGCTTTAGGTCCGGATTACCTTGCATTGCTTTATGCTGCTACACACGGTTCAGAAGGTTAATTCAGTTATGTCATTAAAACAGCTTTTGTTTGTATTTAAGCGCATGCGCAGTGTATGTATAATAAATTGGAAATCAAATTATATCATATACCAAGTTCCCTTTTATTATTTCAGAAAAAATAAAAGTATTACCGAGAAAGGGTAAAAATATTAGGAAAAATTATGAAAACAGGCGCCATTTTGAAATAAGTGGCGGCCATCTTGAAAATGGCCAAAACGTGAATGGCCAACGATAAATCTAATTCCAGTAATAGTCAAAGAACCTTCATGCAAAATTTGGTGCTTGTATCCGCAAGTGAAATATTTTCCCCACTATCCGCTCCGCTAAAACAAAAGTTGTATTTTTTACAAAGAAATATGTGGAAGAATATCCCAAATCATATTTTCAAGGGAGTCAACCGGATTATGTCACGACCCATCGTCATCTTGGTTTGCTTTTTCTAAAGATTTGGGCTGGTCTGAACATATCAGTAATATTGTAAGCAATGCATGCAAAAAATTAGGCCTCTTAAAGAAACTTAAATTTACCCTTGGCAGGAAAAATTTATCTAAGATGTATATCACATTTATTAGACCACATTTATTAGACCAACCCTTAAATATGCGTCTGTCGTATGGCACGGTTGTACTTAATTTGATATGGATAGGTTAGAAAAGGTTAAGTTAAGTGCCGCAAGAATAGTCACAGGTTTACCAATTTTAGCATCAAAAGAATCTCTCTACTTAGAGACAGGGTGGGAACCTCAAGACAAACGTCGTCATACTGCTAAGCTAATAACAATGTACAAAATTCACAATTATCAAGTACCTGGATACTTAAGCAGTATCATTCCCCATAAAATAAAAAAAATGTTTCTTTGCACAATACTCGGGACAGTGAAGGTTACAAGATACCAATCAGTAGATTAGAACTTTACAAAAATCTTTTGTACCTGACACTATTCGAAAATGGAACTCATTGAAATTAGAAGCCAGAGAAGCAACGTCTCTTAATACTTTAAAAAAAGGATATCACCGATATAATAACTAAACCCCCGAAATATTTTTCGTTTGGTAAGCGTATTATCAATATTATACGTACACACTAGATTAAGACACAATGTTTGCTAAATTATGATCTTTACAGAAGGAATATTATTGAATCTCCTAAATGTATTTGTGGCCAGAATGCAGATGTATATCATTTTTTCTTTGTTTGTAAAGAAATAATCTTTTTGACAAACTTTTTAGACTGGACGAATCGATTCTAATAGACACACATCTGTTGTTATGGGGTACTGACACTCTATCTTATGATATGAACTGTCTTATATTTTCAGCAGTTCATAAATTTATCAATAAATCTGGAAGATTTAACTAACATTTCAATGTCCTTATGTTATACTTGACAATATTATATACTTTATTATGTTATTATTATGACAACTGTACTAACTGTATCAACTTTACTAACACCAGGAGAAGAACTTGTAAGAACTTGTTTCTGATCCTTTTGTGTTAAACAATAGAATATGTTCAAATCAAAAATATGAAATTGTGCCTAGCCATAATTACATAAGAAATACCTTTGATCAAAAATAAATGTTCAAAAGAATTTCAGATGAATTTATCTATTAGACTGTGAGCTGGCATTGATCCCATACTTGTAAGATAAAATGTCCAACTGTCAGTTTTCAATGGGGAGACCGATACTTCAATGACTAAGCAACACAACTAATTAAAATTCGTTGGCAGTCAAATCTTGCTTTAATATGATCCCCAATAACTGAACTTCGATATCAATTATGAATCTTCGAATATGATGACATGAACTGTTCTTGAAACGTATGGTTGACTCAAGTTCCACTTTTATTCTAACACAGAATATAGAAGTTACATGTGCAGAAACATGGTACAAAGATCAGATTCTCAACAACAAAAAAATACTTGTCTCCAGAAATGATTATTTTAGTCTTTGGTCTTTTTTTTTTAGGATACTTTCAATGCTATTGACACTCGGTGTTAGAATATAATTTGGATCTCACAAAAATTATATACATTAGCTACTATCACAGAAAATTTAAGGACCATTTATTTATTTTTTTATATATATAAGCAGAGGTCTTTTATCGGCTATTTCGCTCATGTTTCCAAAAATATTTTGTTTTACAAATTAAAGATCACCAGAAAATAAAATGGTTACATTCTATTAAAGATCTTTTTATTTCTACACAAAATGATATTGATAAGAAAACGTCTTTATGTAAGAAAGATGTATTTCTTTTACAACAAAGCCCTATAAAGAAACATGTCAAGGTTGTCCAAGTGGCGGCTTAAATTCCACATTTTTTTTTCAAAACAGATCGAAATACAGATGTACTTTATAAACAAATACATATAACTGACATTGTATGCCTATATACTAGTATTACAATGCTTTCAAAGCTAGCGCGTGGTCCATATTTAAACGAGTCTACAAACGGAGAAACAACAACACAATCATTATTGTTTTGTACATAGAAATTGTTTTTAAGGATCATATACAAAGTAAGTAAGCGGGGTTTAAGTTACATAGTACTTAGTTCTATGCCCTTGTATTGAACTGGATTACTAATAAAAAGGATTGCGTGTGCCAGTTAATGCATTGTCATGTGTCGGTAACTAAACATCTTAATTGGGATTTAAAGAACATTAAACTATTAATATCAATAGAGAAAGAACAGTTCCTAGCCTGTAATTTTTAATTCATAAAAATACAAACATACGTTTTTCCCCTTCCAAAGAGAAAAAAAGAATAAAGAAACAGCTGTTTCCTAAAAAGAACATTATCCCTGCATCTCTGTTAATTACCCTTTGTAGAGTAATACACGTTCACTCCTGGGACAAAAACTTTCTTGTTCTCTCCCGATGCTGTTTCTTCCATTGCTTCTGTTTCTTGTGTATCAGTATTGGAAGTTTCTTTCTTTTCTTTTAGAATTGATTTCGCTAATTTTTTCACATCCATAGTTCTAAAAGACTCCAATATTTCTTCGCTTTTCTTGACTTTCTTCGGTTGGTCTTCAAAAGACACAGAGACCTCTCTTCTAGGCTTGCTTCCTTGGGTAAATGTCATTACCTCTGATGTCTCAGGGCGTGTCAGCATCCAACTTGGCCTCGGTTTGGATGCCATATGCCGGGAAAATACAACATCATCGTCTGATTCTCTGGAAGAAACCCGAGAGGAACTGCTATATTTGGAAAGTCGACTTTTACTTGTTGCATTTTCAAGAGGATACTTGTCTAAGTCTTTCAAATGAGCGGGTTTCAATGTTTCTGTCAGATGTTTAAACCTTTCGTCAGATTTAGTAGCACCAGCATTCAGGTATTTCTTTCCACGATACATGTCGTAATGTTGGAGTGCGTCTTGATCGACCTCAACCATTTCTGGTAATTTTGTCATGTATGTTTTGTCATTGTACGTGGCAATCTCGGTTTGTTCACGTCGGATGCTATATGGCATCTTTGGAAATTTGGATTTTTCTTTTTCTCTGGATTTGCTACGAGCTGGTCTCGCTCTCACCGAGTATTCAGGCATGTGGTACATCACATCGAGACACGGAGTTAAATTTTCTGATCCTTGAAGACTAGGAAGATTCATACTCGAAAGCCTTAATTCGTCTTCCCTCTTCCACTTTTTCTGTTTTCTTTCCTGCATGGCCATGAAAGTCCTTGCAGTGAGATCAAAAGAATTTGCATGTTTGAGCTGTCGTGCAGATAAACTTGATAATGTTATTTGTAAATGTCTGTCCTGGCTTCTGTTCTCCAAAAGGATCGCCTGGTATAAGTTAGTCTTGGGAATGACATTGCGGACGCATAGAAATTGTTTAATTTTTATGTTCTTCGCATCCTTACCTTGTGTAAAAGCCAAAGTTTCGGGAGAAATCTCCAATTCCTGTATCGGAACAGGTTTCTGTTGTTCGGGTTTGGAAGGCATTACTGATGCCATACCTATGAAATCGATGAAATTTTATCCACTTTTCACCACTCCAGTTCGGAACACTTCGACTTCATTATTATAAAAGTTCACATGTAATTTAATACGTTGTCCAGAGAAGAACAGTCACCGCCTTTAAACAGTTAAGTATGTTTTGTCTGATCGCCCTGTCTTGATAAAAATTTCCGTCTTTTGTTTTCATCCAATATAAATCAGAAATTCTTTTGACACAATTGTCAAGAAGGTGCTGAACATCATAATGCGTTTGTTTCAACATGCATCGGTTAAGTTTTTAATATCATCTTATTCGACTTAATTGTGCAGAAGAAATAATTGTCCGTCGCTAATCTGTTGGGTTTTTGTTTTACTGTGTATGGAGTTTTGGCACCTGTGTATTAGATCTGTCTTCGATATATTAATCCATGATCGTTCGTTTCCAACAATCAAAAAACCGTACTGCTAAAATATTTCTTTTTTTTGCATGCAGGTCCTTGATCCATAAGGTCAAACGCAAGAAAAAAAGACTAAAACCTTGAAAAAATAGAGAAATTTTATCAGCCGGTATGTTGAGGATTTACAAACAGATTTAATCGGGATTTTCTAAAACAATTACTTCGAAAGACGTGCCTATCATTTAATCTTCTGTAAATGTGGTTAAAGCTCGTTTAGATATATAATCAGTAGCAATCGATTAATCTGTAAAATATCCATAAGCGTAATAGAACTATGTGATGTAAGAAAACATTTAGATTGTATGGTGCAGTTCCAAAGTTAGTTGTCTGACGTTCTGTACTAGAATACAAACAACATTGTTATGACAAACTTATCAATTTAAGAGGTTTTTTATACCTCAATCTTTATTGTCTCCGATGTGAGGGGATGAATTTTAAAATTATTTTCACGTTTGAAATCCAGTTAGTACTAACATAAAGCATAATTTTGAAACAAACGATATAAAAAATTTCCATCAGATTTTAAAATTCATTTATATTTATTGCTCGCTGTTTATAAGTATATATCATATCACTAGCATTAATCTACGTCTTCTAGATAAGCAAAGTAGGGTTAATTTCAAAGTTATCATTAAATTGCTGGAAAATGCCTTTTTTTAACGGTCTTCTAAGAAATTTACCCCTTATCAAGAAACAGATCTCTAGAAATAAATGGGAAATGAATGTTTCAGCTCCCGTTATACTTTCCCTGTGAAGATCCAATCATTACACAAGTATGATAGATTTCTGTTCACCCAGTTCACTTACAACCATTATTCATGTAACAAAATGAATGACAGACTTGTCAATTCTCAAGCCTTTAAAAATAGATTTATCAATTACTTTTAATCTTTTTTAATGGACCTGAAAGCAAGAGCAGTAACTTAGAAGCCAATTCCAAGGACAGAGAATTCCCAATCACAATGGGATATAAAATATTGCATATACATATTGTAATAAACAATTTAAATAAAATTTAAATCTTAAAACATCATGAATTGTCCCCACAAAAAGTTAGTTGCTTTTGATACACACGTCATAGAAACTTCGTAATGCAATAAGCTTTTAATAAATATTTATTTGCAGCATCTATGGGACTATGAAATTATTATAACTTTTTCATACTTTCTAATGAGAAAAATATTTAAAATCATACTGGTATGTCAGTATGTCAGTTCTGAATATTTTTCTGATCCCTGACATCCAAAAGAATCACCATATTGGATCCGAAACCTCGTTAAAATCTTTACAAATAAAGATACCTAATGGGTTTCAGTAAATGCTATTTCAAGGCGATTTCTTTACCTCTCACTAAAATATTAACGACAGTGAAGGAGAAACTTTAGGATAACTATGCAATTATTTATTTGAGAAGTGGTATAAATCAGAAGTGGATACTTAAAAATTTGTAGGACATTTTGGAAAATTTGAAATCACAAAATTTTACAAATCAATATTACAACTTACTTTTTTTTAAATTTTAACTCTAAATACACATTTCGATAAATTAAAGTTCAGTCTTTTTGACATATTAGACTTCTACTTTTTCACTAAAAATGAAACTCGTAAATTCATTAATCTAGTCGCTGGTCATTTGCAAAATTATTTTGTTCCATTCATTTGTCGATACACTATATCCATAGAGCTTGAAATAAAAGATACCACAGAGTCTGACACATCTGTTTCATATTTGGACATTGTACAAGGTAAAGACATTAATGGTAAACTAACAACAAAGCTTAATGAAAAACGAGATTATTTCCACTTTTCTACCGAAAACCTCTTTTTTTATGCAGAAATATACCCTTATCACCTACATACGGTGTTTATATTCCTCAGTTGATTAGATACAGAAGAGCATGCTCTACGTATAAACAATTTCTAAACTGGTAAATTATTGACAAACAAGTGGATGAAACAAGAATATCAGCAGTCTCATTTAAAGTAATCATTTCGTAAGTTCTATTGTCAACACAATGACCTTGTAAGCAAAAACACAGACCTCTGGATACTTCAGAAGGGCGATCAGATGCCAGAAGGAGAAGCCGGTTGATCGGCCACACCCCCTGTGAGCCCTGACTTATTCAGATAGACAGACATTCCGTAATCAAATTTAGTGTAAAACCAAACGCCTAGCAATTGGTATGAAAAACTCCATCCAAAAGGCGACCATATTAAAGGTTTTATTTGCAAACAAGGTCATCATAACGAACATATGAATTACGAAGTGTGACTTTAAAAGAGACTGTTGATAGTTTTGTAACATAAGCTTATCTGTCAGTAGACTGCCTCGGTTCAAATTTGATCGTACTCAGATCATGCTATGATATCGAACAAGTTTGGAAACAAGCATCATTTTAGATGATAAAAATATTTTTAATTAATAAGTAAAGTTGACTGTGGAAAAGCTTAGTTCATCTCGTTTGTCTCAGAATGTAGTTTTTGGTTGCTAAAAAAAGGTTTACAATCAAGCAGTGCCTCATCTGTCGATCATTTCAGAAGTCGAATCTATGTAATCCTATTACAATTTTGTTTGTCATTTTACTAGTATGTCAAAATGTTAGCATAAATTATTACAAACATCGCTAAAGACGAAGATGAAATGCAGCCAAATTTTCATCCTTGGTCGAAAAAAGGTAACGAAATTAATTTTTTTTTCGTTTATGTACAAGATGTGTTAAGTTTTATTTTATAAAAAGATTGAACAATCCTTGAATCTAATCTTAACAAAGAAGTATTTGTTGAGAGGCACACTTCTGGGGAATTACAAATCGATAAAATGTTTTTTCGTGTCGTTACAATCAGTTTTGTTTGAGATAAATTCATATGCATATATACATGTACTTGTAATTATTTAACATGGAGCAAGTGTGATTCCCTCTCTGTTTAAGTAATTTAAATTTGATTTTCTAACCTTTTTAGAGACAAGCTAGTGTTGAAATTTAATCATTGTTTCTTGTTGAAATTTGCATGTATTTGAGATATCTTACTTAAGATGTTAATACTCTGAAGGGGATTGGAAACTGTTTAAGGGTATGTGAGTATTCTACTGATATCAAGGATTAGGAATACATGTATGTAGGACCGGTTTAAGGAGATGTTTGAAAAGAAATCACTTGATTAGATTAAAAACGTTTGAAGAATGGATGCTTCATTTTACTCTGGGATTAAATATTTTGTTTTGTAATATTTTCTCTTTCTTTTATACATAAAAGAAAGAGAATATATTACATTACTTATATAACTACTATCATACACTATCTGATTAAATCATGATAATATCATGACTTTCTCATATCCTGTACAAGAAAAATGAAAAAATAAATAACTTACGTAATTATCCCTTCTAAAGAAACTAATATTGCTACAGCAAATATTCGATCATCTTGCGTAGTTTTTATAGTTCACTTTGTGCCTTTTACTTGAGAAAAGGAAAGGTTGGGGAAGGATTGTTCTCATATTTACTGTATTTTAAAATTAATGAAATTTTCACCGACTCAAAAATACATTTTCAATATGCGAGATATCAAGTAGATTAAAATTGACCGTTTTTAAATATACAAATTATACAAATGATACGCACATAAAAAGTCATTTTTGTGACTCATTTTTAGTATAATATTTGAAGCTTTCAAAATCTATATAATAATATTGTTGTGTGTTTAGTATATCATTTTTATTTGGTATATTTTAAAACTTTAGTGCCCATAGTTATTTATTTCAGTCACTTCAAAAATTTCTTTTAGACTTCCGTTGGTTAAAAAACATTGAATTCGTTGATCAATAGCATTTTTACGACGCAGAAAAATATTTTCACAGACCAAAGTTTTGCCAGATATATTGTCTCTGTTAGATTTCAAACTGACTTCACCATTTCTATTTAAACTTGTACAATTATGAGAAGGAAAAAATTTATAATCTTTTAAATCCATTAAATTTTATTATGAAAAATATTTGAGTAAGTTAAATGTAATTTGGATATTATTTGAATATTTCATTTAGTCAGAACCCCGACAATAATCCCCCCTTAAGCATAAAAATACTTGCATTAGTGATGAGAAATCTTATTAGAGCAAATGATTTACCGGGGTAGCTATACATTGGTTCAATTCCTTAGACTTTTCAACATTTTATACAACTACTAGCATTCCCTATTCTCCACGATAAATTAAATTCCAGACTTGTTGACATCATAGACAGTTGCTAAACTTGCAAAATTAAAAATGGAACTCGTAAAATTTCTTACCTTGCCATTGGGTTTTTGCTTTTGCAAAAATAATTTGTTAAAAAAAACCCACTCTGATTGTACACTAAAGCACTCTGAAGTTGTTTTAGAAATGCTAGGATCTCTGATTGACAATATCTACGTAGGCTTTGGAGGTCAGGTCTTCCATCAATCTGCTAGAATGCCCATGGTAATCAATTGAGACCCGTTGTAAGGAGACCTGTTTTTGTATTCATATAAAGCAGAATTTATTCAAAATTTTATATACGAGAAAAAGATACCTCTTGCTGTTGCTTTCAACTCGACATTCAGATATATTGACGACGTATTATAAATTAGCAATAGTTAATTCCATTCATATATCGACTCAATACTGTATATCCATCTGAGCTTGAAATAAAAGATACTCAGAGTCTGGCACATCTGTTTCATATTTGGATATTTTACCAGAAAAAAAAAGACATTATAGATAACTTTGTAATAGATATTAGAATTTCAACTTTTCAGTTGTCAACTTCGCTTATTTATGTAGCAATAAACTGTTATCACCTGCATGTGGACTTTATATTTCTCAGTTTATTTGATTGACAAGAACATGCTCTACTTAGGGACAATTTCTAAAAAGAGGCAAGTTAATGAC